CCTGTGCCCCTCCTGGGCGCAGCATCTGCACACAGGCTCCGAGAAATGGCAGCGCGAGCGCACCGCGGGCGAGCCACAGCTTGTTCTTATAGAAGCCCAGGGCCGCCAAAGATAAACCTGGTATGCGAAGAGCAGCAGCAGAAGCCAAAGAACCCGGTCGGAATAGAAACATAAAACACCGAAATTCCTCGCCCCAGTAGTAGTAGTAGTAGTAGTAGTAGTAGTAGTAGTAGTAGTAGTAGTAGTAGTAGTAGTAGTAGCAGTAGCAGTAGCAGTAGCAGTAGCAGTAGCAATAGCAGTAGCAGTAGCAGTAGCAGTAGCAGTAGTAGTAGCAGTAGTAGTAGTAGTAGTAGTAGTAGTAGTATGTTGTGAGCAAGCATGAGTGCATGCGCAGCTGCAGCTCGTAGCATTGATTTCACTTTGCATGTGTAGTTTTGCAATTCGTTACAATGCCAATTTTTGGCTCAAGTACCGAGCTAGACTTGTGCCTTTGAGCACGGTAGTTTCGTACAGTAGCTCTTAGGCTGCTGCGCGGTCCGACCGGACGCACTCAAGCGTAGTAGCACAGAGCGTGGACTCAAGAAGTCGGAAAACAGCGTGGCCAGCAGTGTTTGCTTTTGTGTAAGGCAAGACCTGACTGGTCGACTTCACAATTGGGGGCTGTTCTGGGAAATAGTTCAGCTCTTGTGCCTACGGCCCGAGTGGGCAAGCATTGCTTTGCTTGTCCGTCGCGGTCCGTGTCCTGGACGTGTGGACTGTGTTCCACGCCTGCGGCCTGACTTCCAAGGCGCGGCGTTTCGCCGCGCGACGCAGCCTGCTATGGATTTCACTCTTCTTGCTACGGATTCGCTTGCAACACGAGTTTTGTTGGACTGAATCGTGCTCTTTGGCTCCAAAAACAAGTCACTAAAACAACCAAAACACACAGTAAAAAAACAAACAAAAAAACTATGTAAAATCAATTTGTTTTGCAAAAACCTGTCTTCACGGCATGGCATCGAGCAAGGCGGCTGGCTGCCTTGCTCTTGTTCTTGTTCTTGCCCTTGCGCTTGGTTCTTGTCTTATTCTTCTTGTTCTTGGCACTCTTGTTGTTATTGGTGTTGTTGTTCGGGGTTCACGGGAACACAAAAAAGTGGGAGCACGCACAACAAGAAAACATTAAAAACACGCCCTCCAGATCTAACCTTGCAACGTACAATTGACATGAGAGGCCATGAGCAACACGCAGCTCCCTACACGACTTTGATCCTATGCCGCACGTCTAGACGCAGCCAGGCAGCACATGAAGCAGCCACTTTGTAGATCATTCACCTGCTTCTGTTATCTACAACATACGCAGGGTGTTGTTCAGGAAAGTCCCCATATGTCCAGATGACGGGCGCTCAGTTTGAGCTGCCGGGTAGTCAAGGGCCTCCTAGCATTGCAACCTGCTCTCGCTAAAGCAAGCATGCATCAGAGCCAGCAGCTCTTTCGCGGCATGCGCCCACCCTCCCGGCAGTTTGTGAATTTTGCGTTGGCGTTGGACGCTGACTCGAATATCTGCTTCACAGCAACACAAAAAAAAACGCACAGGAGTGCACGATGCCTGTAAGAGCTTGCTCCAGTCGTTACAATCACCAATTGTGAACCTCTCCCACCAAATCGGGACCCCGGAGCAGGAGGCAACCGCAAGAACGACCATCTTCCCTAACAGGACAGTTAGCCTGCGCAGCCAAGCTGCCGGAAGTGAAGGGCTGTCTGCAAGTGGCCCAAAAATATGATAAAGTGCTCAGAAGCACGGGCTATGAGCTGACGAGGGAAGGAAAGCCAGGGCACCTGCCGCTGCCGGTACGGCTTCTGGGCACCCAAAAGGATGGCCATGCCGACGGTGATGAAAAGTGCCAGCAGCACCGAATTCACATCGACCTCCGGATTCAAGCTACAGGGTTCAAGGTTTAGACCGGGGTGTTCGAGCTTGTTAACTTGAGATTCCCTACCTTGACCAGCCCAATGTCTGGGAAGAGCGTGATCTGACAAGTTGCTCTGAGGTGGACCATGAACCCCAAACTCTTTGTTTGCAGCCGGAAGGCGGTCGCGACCAAGGCCACAGCGACGCCCTTCAGCGCGGCTTCCACCCACACATCCTGGCAGGCTGCCTGACAGCGCGAAACCACTCATCATTCGATCCTGAACTACCAGAGCATGCAATGTGGGAACCTGTTGAACAAAACTCTGGTCTCAAAAAGGTTTTTCGTGAAAGGTTCCAAAAAATCGGGCGTCTAGAACCAAGGTTTCGTAATCAGGTTCCTACATCGGGCTCAGACATCAATTCTAGGGACGTTCACACGCAGGACACCACACATGAAAGTGAAAATGCGCTCGCGCGATCCGCTGAAAACACAGAGCCAGGCAGCATATTTGAAGAAGATCGCTGTGGCCCCGGCCATTATACCTGTGACGCTGGAGGGTGACTCGGTGAAGTTCCATGAAACAACTCTCAATTTTAGGAGGCTGTCCTGGAAAACACCCAACTCTTGGGAAATCCCTACGGACCGATGCAATGAACCGGACACTAGGCCGCAGCCTCGCCAACTCGAATCGAATGCAAAGCAAACATGAAGCTCAAACCCTGGATCTGCGTTCCAAGACACGGTCAGCTTTGCTTTCTCTTTCGAGCATCTGCCGTTCTGAAAGCATCCTCGCGTCCAAAGGCCGCCCGAATCCAGGCGAGCTTTTTTGAACTTGTGATAGTGTATAAGGTTTTGACAGCGAAAGCATTGCGTTTTTCAAGTTGAGTCTTAGTTTGTATTGGGGCTCACAATGGCTCACTAGGCTCGCTGGGCTCGGCAGGTCAACCTTCGAGCTGTTGCAGGAACAAACCATGGGCCACACTGCTGTCAGCTTGCGCCGAGGAGTCGCGCGCCACAGCTAGGAACCGAACAAACCAAGGTCAGCGCCTAGTCGTCAAAAATAGGTTCGGTGGAGGCACATGTGTCAGTTCCACGAGTCTGCATGGCGCCCCCTGCAAAACGCTGAGATCTCGCTAGCCTCCTCACTCTGAAGCAGACTCGCCGCGGCAGCACGACTTAAAGCGGGTCCACGGTGAGTTCAAAAGCTTGGCTTGAAACGAGGCGAGAGTGAGCAGCTGTAGCGTTGCGCCCTCCCACTGGGTCGGAAAAGAAATTCTAAAACCAATGCAAACGCTGGCTTTCTGCCAGAAAAGACACCCCGCCACAATTCAGCCTGCCTGGAAGGGCAGGAAAAATTTTCGGATGTCGCCACAGCACCCGGATGAAACATCCTCCCAGACCCTTTGCAGCGAAGTCTTCCTCAGGCATGTTCCAACACCCAAGGTCGGTCGATCAGCTCATTCCCCTGCCACAGCACAGCGAGGTCGATCACCTGCTTGGCCCTGTCATCGAGCAAGCACTGCACCTCGCCA